CCTCCCTCCCAGGCTCTCAAATCTGGGAGGGAGGGGGAGCAGCGGCGTGCGAAACGGCCGCTCGGGATCTCCCCCTCCCTCCCAGGGATCAGCTGTTTCGCACGCCATGGCAGCAGCAGCGGAGGTGAGCTAGGGCGGCCAGGGCACATTTTTAGGGGCGGCATTCTGGCACCAGCCATGTCGTCCCTAAAAATGTGCCACCCCAAGCACCAGCTTGTTTTGCTGGTGCCTAGAGCCGGCCCTGGTTGGTCTGCCTGCTGTTTTTTTATTTGAGCTTTTCATGGGCATTTACAGGAAATTCAATCACAAATATACAAAAAAAATACACATGCTTAGAGACGGATAACCTCCCTTTTGCTTATCAGTATTGACAGGCTCAAGCATTGAATAATCATGAGTCAGTTCTCAAAATCATGAGATCAGCATAACAAAATTTTTAAATAATAAATTGTGAATTCTTAGTTTGCCTTCTGGTTTTGAGTCTTTGGGAACACGCTTCCTGTTTTCAAGTTTTTCTCTGCAAACATGAGGGCTTGAAACTTTCTTTTTTAAATGGAAGCTGATGGTGATCTCAACATAGTCTGTATTCAAAACAAAACAAAAATGCAATAGTATTAGGGAATGAGTAGATTGCACTTTAAAAAACACCCTTGGTACAGCAAGGTCTCCACACATCAATGGTTACACATTAATTCACATGCCTCCAGCTCCTCTTTCAGTCTCCAATAAGTGCAACTTAACAGAGCAAATCTAAGTACAAAATGTTTAGTTGAACTGCAATTGCCTTGGTCAATCTCCTAGATTATGGTGAGGTTCAACTTTTATTTGCAGTACCTTTCTATCAGAAAGGTAAACACCACCAGTACATTAAGCTCTTAGACATCCACAAAGCTTCCACTCATCCACTGCAAATCCTCATCTGACTCCTGAATCTCTTATACAATAACCCATTTCCTAATCAGGATTGATGTACAATATTTGTTGTAAAATATTCTGTGACTTCAGAAGCCTGATTTTCAAAAGTGATGTGATGAGCACCCAATGGCTCCCACTGATTTCAGTTGGTCAGAATGTCTGAAAAACAGGCCTTCAATTTAGATAAATAAATAGATATGGGAACCTAACTTTAAGTGGGGGGAGACGAACACTTTTATACCAAGATTTTTAAATACTAGATTTTTATTTTTCTTAATAATCTCTCTCCTGTAGCTCCTTTTCAACATAGAGAACATGGTGCCAAAGTTGATCATATGGATGTAAGGCATAGGCTGCAGCCTACCAAGCTTCATCTTTGCAGTACCCTATTTTTCTCCTCTGTATTTTTGTTGTAACTTTCTTTAATATTGTTTTCTTTTTCAGATTAACATTGATAGTCCTGCAAGGGAAGCTATTATCAGGAATATTCAAGAACCAACTCAATCCTGTTTTGATGAAGCTCAGAGAATAGTTTACATGCACATGGAAAGGGATTCATATCCCAGGTTTCTTGGATCAGAAATCTATCAGAAACTCAAACACAGGCCTTCAGACTGACAGCAATGACTCAATACATTAAAGAGGGAGATTAAGGATTTAGCAGAAGAGACTTCCTTCTGGTTTATTAATGTTTTCAAATGGTAAAAGAAGAACAGAAGAAATCAGGCAATGGATGAATTTTCCTTACAAAGAATGGTAGTTTGTTCTTATGCAGATATTAGAGCTGAACATAAAATACTTTCCACCCTCCACCTCCTCAGTGAAATATTTCAGCTTTATGTCAAAAAATTGAAAGCCACTTTTAGTTCACCTCAGTCTGTCTGGAATTTAAAAAGTCATTACGGGGAAGAATCCTAGGACCCCACACACTTACCACAATCCATGGGAAATTAGCTGCCTCTTGTCCTTCTCCTACCAGTCAGGGAAGACTAGTTCCACATCTTCATCAACATCCATCACTATCCAAGGGAAGCCACCATCTGTGTTAGAAATAAAAGTGCTGCGGTTTAGAATGATAGTTACTGTACCGTATTGTAAACTCTATAATTCACAAACTAAAATTCAGCACATTGCCCAGTTAATCAGCTAAACAGTCTCAAGTGTAAAGAGAAACACATGCACATTACATTTGATTACACAAAAAATACATCAGTTTTCAGCAGGCTCCAAGGATAGTTGTAATTGTATCCGGGGGTATTTAAGCTACTGTGCATTTTGTGCCCAAATGCTCTTGGATTAATAAAGTAAGATACAAAGCAGGTTGTTAAACCTTAGAGGAGAGATATGGAATGCTTTTGTTTAATAAGTCATGTTGGGAACAGCTTCATAAATCTGGCTAGCCAGGTGCAGATGGTAGAAAATAAACACCTAGATTAGTTCTGCATGACTTGTGTTTTCACAGCGCCGTACGACGTTTATTATGGATAGCCCTATATTTCATGCCACTCACATTTTGGCAGATTCACCTGATCTGCCTGTTCACTGCACTATTCAAAGTATAGCTTTTGCTCCTTTATAATTAGATTGTTTACATCACTATCAGGCCCTCACACAACAAACGTATCCAAATGAAAACATTTCTTGTAAATCTTTCATATATAAAACCTAGAGGGGAAACAATGGACTACTGTGAGCTGTTCATTAAAAGAATAGGGCATGCTGCTAGTTTGGATAAACAGAATACAAATCCTTCTCTTGGGTAATGGATTGGATTAGTGAGGGGTGCTATCCCCAATTATAAGATAAGATACTACTAGTTTTCACCTGAGCGTTACATGTTCTAATGTCTAAACTAATTATAAGCTCTCTCACACACACTAAATCATAAGTGATTCTGTTTATAACTAAAGCTTCTCAAGTCTCTTTTAAATCAATATTTTCCAATATAAAACATCAGGCTGTAATCACATCCAATCTGACAAACTAAGCATTGGTGATCTGTATGCATTTGGGAGATCTTCAACAGAAATCTAGGTGCTACAGGGAGAGTTGCTGATGTTGTAGGTGGCCTTCTCCATCTGTACCGACCTAATGCCCCAGCACTGTATTGAAGCATATTGTGTTGTTGAGGTCCCAGCATTCAGAGCAAATGTAACTCCCTTAGTTTGCAAAGGCTTTGTAGAGATCCCAAGACATGCATTGCACAAACAGGAATGATACATTTGTGTCCTGGCCAAATTCCAATGTTGGTAAATTACTTTCAGCCTACACACAATTCTCACACAAATAGGTGTGGCATTATCGCTCCCTTGTGTCTGGGTGCTGCATTGTGGTTGCAGTGGCACATCCTCCATGTTATCTCTTAGCTGTCTCTTCTACTTGACTGTTTCTCCTCCTGTATGACACACTAAGACCCATCCTGCCGTTACTGTATTGGGTATTCCTTTCTTAATAGCCCATAGCCATTATCATAGGTCTATCATTCTCTGGATACTCCCCCTAGTCCCCCAACTCCATATTTGATATCCGTAAATCAACGGCCCTCTCTCCTCCATGGTCAACAACCAGCCTGGCTCAGCATTTTATTTGAGAGAGCCTATCTGCTTCCTTTTCGCTGTTAGGAACTACTCTGTATCTGCCATGTGTCCTCAGCTGCTGCTAGTCCAGCTCCTTTTGGCCTCTGCTCAGGCTGGTTTTTCATTTGGGATTCATGTGGGCTACTTTGAAACTATCTTTTTGTTAGTAAAACTATGCTCCAAGAGGGAGGACTTGCTAATCTTACAACAAGTGTGTCACTTTTAGTTTGAGGTGGGTATGGACCAGTTTACATTTTAGGGAGATCACCTACAATGATTGCTTCCAAGTTCATGGTACAAGGAGCACACTACCAAGTTTCTGAAAGAGTTAAATGTACCATAACTGATACCCATAGTGGGGTTGCTTACAGTAGTGCAGTGAGGCTGGGGCCATTCACAATACAACATCCCTCACACTTGGGAAAGAAAGTGGTCCATAGGGATGACTATGAAAAGTTACAGTTAATAATCAGCATTATTTTTTGGCCTAAAACATGCTCATCTTACAGTTATTTTATTCAAGATACATTTAAAATTCCTCTTTCTAGAATGAAACTTTAGGGTTTGTCTATTTAATATTCAAGTGCAGAGACTTCTGTCAGGAAATGACTAAAGGTTTCGGAGTTTATTTCTTTTCTCTATTAAACAGCTTAGTCCTATGAACTGGAAACATGGCAATTTATTTCTCTCTGGATTCCCTTTCCTCATTAGTGGATGAACAATCACAATGCTTTTCATCAGGTCGTACGGTTCATAATAACAGTAACTAATGGCAGCAAGAACAAACCACTGACTTCATGCATTTATCATTGTCAGTAGTAGCACTTGAACAGCTAGTTTAGATATACTTTCCATTTGCGTACAGCATTCAGAAGTATATGTCAACATTAATCATTATCAGTTGACGGACTACTGTTAAGAAAGAAAATGAAATCTAAAAACCTGTAACCTTAGTAGTCACTTCTCCCTCTTTATTCTTCAACTGTTTACTTAACAGGTAAGAACAAAAGTAAAAGATTTGAAGTGATAAATATGGCAAATATTCAAACACAATGTAAGAGATTAATAAGTATGTCAAGTTAAATTCAGGTCACACAACCAGCTAAATGGATGCTGTCAAGATTAAATATTTTAAAAATCCTTATCTCTGATACCAGTTAACACTTTAAATTATTAAATGCTAACCTAAAAGCATTAACAATCAAGTTGATATTTATCCTCCTTATTTAGGTGGCACTTTCTGCCAGGCAACTGAAAAGAGCTGTCATCCTGTTTTCTGAGTATTCATCTTTAAATATAGAGCAGTCTCCTTGTCTGTTGCAAGGGCAACTGTGACACAGCCCCCATTTTGTGTTCCTCTCCAATGTAGAATGTTATCGAACAAGTCACCATGAAGCCTAAGCAGGCGCAGACACAGCGAACTGATCCTGCAGTTAAATTAGGTGTTGATTGTTTCTCACTGACCTACCATACATTAAGTAGTACAGTTCACTAGCATAGTGCCACCACCACAGAGAAATGTTAAATATATGGTAGCTATTTTCTTAAAATAATAAGAACATTTCCATTTGGGGAAATCTCATCATTAACTTCACTTTCAGGCCTAAATGAAAATTCTATCACTTATTCCTCCTCTTTAAAGTGACATCTTCAGAGTCGCCCAGATGGGGGGGCAAGTGGGGCAATTTGCCCCAGGCCACAGGCCCAACAGGAGCACCCACAAGAAGGGCTGAGGCTCCCCCTCACCCCCCGCCATCCCCCCCCCCCCCCGGCACCTCAGCGCACGCGTCCAGGAGCGTCCCTGGACAGCGCTGCAGCCACGTGCCTCCGGCGGGGCCTGAACTCCTCCCCGCTCGGAGCCGCGTGGTAATGGGGCGGGGCTGCGAGCTCCGGGCTGAGCGGCGGGAGCTCCGGTCCCAATGGAGCTCACAGCCCCACTCCCTTACCAGGCAGCTCTGAGCGGGGAGGGGCTCAGGCCCCGCCGGAGGCACGCGGCTGCAGCGCTGTCCAGGGACGCTCCTGGAGGCGCGCGCTGAGGCTCCAGGAGAGGGGGTAAGGGGCCAGGGCTGGACTGGGGGTTGGATAAGGGACAGGGAGTCTCGGGCAGGGAGTCCCGGGGACTGAAGAGTCCTTTTACCTCTGTACTATAGTTACACTGTTGAGGTTTGCACCAAAGTAGCTAACGCCCAGTCAGTGTTTCCATCATAATCAAGGTTTCAATGAGGGTGTTAATAGAATTTCTCTGCCTTGAAATTTGGTATGAAAAGATATAGGGACTAGATAGCCATGGAGGTTGCTGGACTTGCCTTTTCATCTCTTGAGATCCAGGACCAGCTGGTGCGCAGGAGTGCATTCTTGGGGAATTATTAATGTTGCAACAGAACCTAGAGACCACAAGTAAGATCAGGGCCCCATGATGCTAGGCACTGTACAGACACCCTGCCCCACAACACTTCTTATCTGAATGGACAAGACCAACAAAGAAAGATTTATTTCCATTTTAGAGATGGGGAACTGAGGCCTGGGCTATAAAATGACTTGCCTCAGGCGAGACAGAAAGTCTGTGACAGCCAGAATTGAGCACACATCGCGCAAACTCCAAACCAGCTCCTTAACCACAAAACCATGTTTTCTTTCTGGGGGCTCTCTGTTAATATTCCAAATCCAAAATGAAGCTGAGGTGCTTTTCCCTGCCACTGCAGACATTTACTCTCTCTCTGCATGTGATAAAGCATCGCTGCCAGAGATGACTCAACCCCGGGGCTCATAAAATACTTCTCAAGATCAAATACTTTGCTTGTGGAATGGAGCAGATTGGACCAAGCATTTGGAGTTTAAACACAGCAACCTACCCAGTCCTAGGACCTAGAGCTGGTCAGAAATATTCCGGTGAAGTGTTTCTTTGAAGTTTAGCATTTGTTGAAATACAAGTGTTTTGCGGAGTTGGTTTGGTTTCAGTTAAACCTGCCTGGTTTTCTGCCAGGTCACCTGCTTGGCTCCTAACAACCCACCTGCCAGACTGGCTCAGAATCCAGGGCTCCATTCTCCCTATTGAAATCCTCTGCAAAATAGAATTTCCTTCTCCACACAGCTCAAGAAGGGACCGGGGGGGAGAAAGAGGTTGGATAAGGGGCAGGGAGTCCCGGGGACAGGGAGGGGGCAGAGGTTCTGGGGGGGGGGGCGGTCAGGGGACGGGGAAGGGGGGGTTGGATCGTGGGCATTCGGGGGTCTTTCAGGACTCGGTGGGGGGGTGGATAGGGGTCGGGGCAGTCGGGACAGGGAGTGGAGGGCGTTGGTGGGCGGTATCGGGTGGGCGGTCAGGGGATAAGGAGCAGGATGGGTCGGGATTCTGGGGGGGGACAGTCAGGGGGCAGGTAGTGGATGGGGGTTGGATAGGGGGCAGGGCCAGGCTGTTTGGGGAGGCACAGCCTTCCCTACCCTAAAGCTCATTCAGCAGTTTGAGGCTTGCAGACAGCTATTTAACACCAAGAGCCAAGCTGTTATCTTTTCCCTTTTCCCTACATTTAATTTCATATGGAGATTCATGTCAGGGGAGGATAGCTTCATTTAAAATTAGCCACTTTAGATTAACAGTGATAGAGCCAAGAGAGCCATGGGGGAGGGATCACATGAGAAGAGCAATATCTACACCACCTATCTCCTTCCCAACCCTACCAAGGGAGACCCCCCCCCCCTGCATTCCCCGAGGCTCCAGAGGGGTTAATTCAGTGGTTCTCAAACTTTTGTACTGGTGACCCCTTTCACATAGCAAACCTTTGAGTGCACCTCCCCCCCCCTTATAAATTAAAAACACTTTTGAATATATTTAACACCATTATAAATGCTGGAGGCAAAACGGGATTTGAGGTGGAGGCTGACAGCTTGCGACCCCCAGTAATAACCTCATGACTCCCTGAGGGGTCCCAACCCCCAGTTTGAGAACCCCTGGGTTAATTTAATTTTAGCACTCTGTGTCCATTCACATGCATGTGCTAGTTTCAGCATTTCAGTTTTCACAACATAGGCTCATCCCAGATTCTGGAACAAGCTCAAATGCTCAGTTCGTGGAGTATGTACATAAGCTATACTAAAGACAAACCCACAGTAACCAT